TGAGAAGCAAGAACGAAAGGGCGACAAAGGCGGCAAAAGCGACTTTAGCGGGGCGGACAGGGCGGCTTTGGCGCTTTTGGTCTGAACGTATAGTTACTGTTTGTATACGGTTTTTTTTTCCTCTATCCACTTTGCTGCTGGAACATCGGAATTTCCCATTGTGGGACAAATAAAGGAATATCTTATCTTATCTTATCTTATCTTATCTTACAAAATGCCTGGCTTTGACGAGGGGGCGGAGAATTCGCATCAGCTGTGTGCTTGGCCATCAAGTGGTATTTAGACTGGACGTGCTGCGATGATAGCTCAGTTCACAACGACAAAACACACAGATCACTTTGGGTCTTTGGTCATGGAACCCATTTTGGCACTTTTTTAAACTTAATACTTTCCATTCAGGAATACATTATTGGCCATTCCCTTCGGCGTCTCATTGCGCTCGCGTTCCACTCAAAAGGGTTATCGTCTACTACGGCTCTAAAAAGTGGTGGAGGCTGTGCCTGGTTTGATTAGATATACCGGTTAAGCTAAGGATCGGTGTGGTTGTGTGTTTTTCTCCAAGTTCTAGTTGTTTGACGCGCGATGTTTGAAAAAAAACTACAAGTGTGCTAGGCACTTAACAACATTATCGCGATTGATGTCACACAACACTTATCGCGTTAATCGTGCGACAAAAAAAATTGACGCCGTTAAAATGGGTTTGCGCTAACGCCGTTAATAACGCGTTTAACTGACAGCACTAAATGAAATATGATTTTGTGCAATAAAACCCATTAGACATCTTATAATCTTTTCGAATCTGTTCTAATAATGGACATGTTCCATTAAAGTTACTGGTTCCACCTGTGCTATTCCTGCTAAGAAAAGTAAAAAAGCTGTATTTTCTGTTCCCATTTACAGTTCCAAGTTCTGACTGTATCTGTTGCTGCAGGGTGTATATAGGAACATTTTCTTCCAACCTGGTTGTAGGAGGAAGGGCATTCCCATGTTCATCCAACAGTGTGGCCCCTGCAGCCGTGGCCCAGCGGCAGTGCTGGGCCAACAGAGAGTTCCTGGCTGTGGTGGGGCTGTCTGTGGCTGCTCCATCTGCATTTTTCAGGGGGGAAAACTCATCCCCCCTTACAACCTCAAACACAACGAAGCTCCTGCCAAAGACAACTGTTTCAATTAGCTGTAGAGACACTGTGTTAATACTTATGTAGTTTAGGTAGAGTAAAACAACAGGAGTCAATAGCTGAAGACACATAATAACCAACAATACCTTGAGAATGGAAATACATCAAAAACAAACTTCTCCATCTTTATGCCGTTGGGTTTGGTAGGTTTGACGGGATTGCCACATGTGTCCACAAAGGGCACTTTCTTGATGGCAACATGCTGTTTTAGTTGGGCTTCGAATTTCCTGTCGGAAGAAAAAATATTAGGAAATCAAAAGCATTTTTTACAGGACCTAACAACATGCAGGAAGGTTACATATAGGGTGTATCCAAATACAAATTACCACAGAAATCTGGACATTCACTTTTGTAGTTTTTGAGGCAATTTATTAGGGAAGTGTTTATAAAGTACAAACTTTGGCCCGATGGTGGTGCTACTGGGTAGATCAGGAAATCTTTTAAGAATCATCTGCTGGGGATCTATATAAAAAAAACCTGTATGACAGTCGGGTCAGTAGTTTCACTCTGGACCAATGTCTTGGACAGACATACAGACTAAGAATGCTATCATTAGGCAAAAATTATTTCGGTTTTACACTGTAGGTTATTACAAACCTCTGTATGAAAGGTCTCACGAGTCTATTTGATTGATTATATTTAGTATCGATGAATCTATTGATCATTTTCTGACTTCATCAATTAGTTGTTTGGTCCATAAGATATTCCTATATATATATATATTGTTTTGTCCACAACCCAAAGACATTCAGTTTACTGTCATAGAGGACAAAAGAAAGCTGAACATATTCACATTGGAGAAGCTGAAAGCACAGAATTTGGACGGTTTTTCTTAAAAAATGACTCAAAGCAATTATTCAATTATCAAAATAGTTGGAGATTAATTAAAGGCAGATGCTATTGTTGCAAATGTTATTTGCATCTACACCACGATCTTCAACTAAACTAAAGATTGATTGCTTAAACCTAACCAAACTGCCACTGAAGACTGAAAAAACACAAACTTAAAATAATACGTCAACTAAGTTTAAAAATTCTGTTTTCACATGGGACTCAAGCCCCAGTCTCCCTGGCAACAGGGCTTTTTTTGCTCAAAATGATAAAAGCTGGCCACTCTAACTCATGGCAGTCTGAATCCCTTAAGTGCAACTGTTCCGTTTAAACTTTCAAAATAAAAGCTGGGACAGTTGCGTTTTTAAAAAGTATATTGCTAGTAATGAATTTTTTTTGTATTTGTCCACAAATCCCATGAAAAACCGAAACCAACAATGTATGAGCCTATCCCTTTATACTGGTTTCTACTCAAGATGAAAATTAGTCACACTTTTATTTACCAAAGTAGCTAAACAATTTCATAAAATGGCTGGTCACTGTAGTTTTTAGCAAACGGAAGGAAATAGTGCATTTGTAAGGGATTATTTTCAGATGGGGATTAATCCATATTTTGTGCTCTAGTGAGTATTTGAAAAATGTACGGCTTAAGAGCCAAATACTGTTTTCAGGAGGAGGTAGAGACCAAAACAGAGAGTGAATATTGGCTGGAAACCTCCTAAAGAATTCTTATGTTCTTTGGATCTGCTAAATTTATAAATAAGCAACTGACTGCAAACATGTTTACCATATCAGCTTTAAGGTGATAATATGTCAATGTTGTGTTTACAGCTCCAAGTGGCCAACGGATCAGTTAATGCAGGTTTAACATCCAGATATGGGCGTGTGCTGTTGAAATTTGCCTGGTCAGTCCGTCAGAGGGATCCTAGCAACACATAATGTATGTGACAGTACAGGCTCTTACTCTGCTACATCGTGCAGGAAAGCCCTGGTAAAGAAGTGATTGCAGATGTTCCCCGCGCTGTACACCAGCTCCCCTCCAGGTCCCCGGAGCTCAGCCGTCTCTGGTTGGATCTCGCTGTACTCCACCACCTGTGCGACTCCTTGCACCCTGCAAACCACGCCCACTGGCTCCGCAGGGCAGGCCTTCTCCACCACCTGACACGTGACAGAGCAGATGGAAACTTTTTATTGAATCTAATTCTTCCCTTGTGAGATTATTGTTAAAAAATATGGGACGTAAAGGTGTGTTTTGGCATACTGTGCGTATACTGTATAACACCTTACTAAGACATTTTATGCAGATTTTTCCTTTAATTTGCCAAAGTTTAAATGGACCTCTGCCAGCAACTTTAAAACTCACTAATTAACACGCCACATTTAGTTTTGTTCTGTACACAAACAGAACTGTTAAAATGACGCCACCCGGCTCCAGCTCTTATTTAAAATTGTAGTAGGTTTGTTTCTTTATAAAAATAATTTTTTGTCATATTTGCCAGAGGAACCTGATTTTTTTCACCAATTTTCGCAAATATGTCAAAAGTTATTTTTATAAGTTACCTACTGCAGCTTTAATGCTCAGACATGAGAGATCAACCTTCCCGTTCAACTACTGTGTGATGTTACATGTTACTCTACCTTGGCTCCACAGTCAGCCCCTTTGCTCACACAGAACCCAATGAACACAGGGTCGGCCATCTTGACCAGGATATTGTCCACACAGTACACATGCAGGTACTCCACTCCCCTCTTCTTCATGTCCTCCAGCACCTTGTTGTCCACCAGCGCCTTGTACAGACCACCGTTCCCATCTGACAGTGGGTGGAGAGAGTTTGAAACATGGCTCATTGCCTCAAGCTATCAGTGGCAGGTGAAAGTGAAGTGATTTCAGAGATAACTGTCTCTGGATCTTCTGCAGGAGCTGCTGTGCACCTACCTGGGGCCATGGCGATCTTCCCTTTACCCTGCAGAATGACCTTTCCATCAAAGGTCACTGCTGGGATCATCCTCTGCTCAAACATAACAATGTTTGACGGCTCCAGACCAAAGTAGTTGTTTTCCTTGAAGAACTTCTCAGTGGGAGCCAGAGTGAACTCGCTGGTCATTATGTACCTGAAGAGTTACAGTAGTACAGACTACAGGTTTAACATGTTACATTTATATTTAATCTCCATGACCTCTGTGACTTTAATTATCCTCTTAATCACAAAGCCAAAAACAGCCGTGTTTGTACCACTTAACATTTATTTTAAGGGTTATATATGACTTTTATTACATGAATATAGCAGCTAACAACTATTCTCTATGTAAAGATATAGTGCAGTCAGGGTGTCACTCTCCCTCTGTCTGT